CCCACAAAAGGCAGGCCAGGCGGACAGACACCAAGAGGAAAGGGATCTCCCAAATCAAGCTGACGCACCCAGCGTGAATCACATTTTCCTTCTTGGCCAGTGCCTCCCCCCCAGCCCACCCTCTTCCCGGTGATGTTGTGAAGTCCCATAAAGTTAAGCGGTCCTGCTGATGCCACGGGGTGACCCTCCGCTCGGGAGGGCAAGGGGGAACCAACCAACTTCCCTCTGCCGTGGGCTGCGCAAAATACACGCTCTAAGTCATTCTGCAGCCCCGCTGAGCCTCTGTGCCGTGCCTGGTCAGCTCGGAGGCAGAAGTGAGCTCCCAGCTCTCACGAGATGGAGAGGTTGCGAGGCAGGGAAGAAGACCTCGCAGGGAAGGCAGGAACAGGCAGAAAACTCCAGTTTCGACGCCCACAAGTTGCAACAGGACCCGGCAAGCCAGCGTGCCCCTGAGCAGAGCCACACCAAGCCGCCTGCCAGCCCCCCCACGCTGCTCCCACGCCGCCGAGCCCCACTCTGCCGGCCTGAGCTCGCGAGGGAGGAGTCTCTTTGCAGCTCCGAGGTTTCCCTGACGGAGCAAATTTTGCACTTATCAGGGAAGATTTGCAAGCAAGGGGTTGTGACTGTCAGCCCAGAGCCGAGCTGCAGAAGATGGGAGCTCACGGATTTATTTCCCTTCGAAGAAAGGCTGTTAGACCGTTAAAGCATGAGGCAGCAGCAGAAATAAGAAGTCAGCGATAAGCTGTTGAAGGCACAACGCACACGCCAGCCTCCGCTGTCAGATGCGCCGCACACGTTTCCGAATAAAGCTAAATACCCCGGAGAGACAGAGCCCCTTCCAGGCGCTGATCCGCTCCCATTTGCACTACAGCCTGCGGATGCAGCTGGCACTCAGCTGGAGATCCCGTGCCCATGGAGAGCAGCTCAGGCTCAGAGCTGAGTTTCCAAGGGTATGTTTACCCAAGGAGATTGAGACCCAGCCCCCAGCTCCTCAGACCAAAAGTTACGTTGGAGTTCAGTGCTTTGTTCCAGTAAGGAATTTGGATGCACCTCCCTCATTCTTATCCTATCACCTTGTAACATCTGCCCCAAACCTCTCCCCATCCTTTAATAAGGGATGCACCAAGTGCCAACTCCTGATGAGGCCGGATTGCAGCTCCTAATTCTACGCTTCTGGGGGGGAAGCTGAGCGCATCAAAGAGCCGCCTCCTTGCCCAAAGCACCGGCACTGACAGCAGTCGGCTATTACCGAGTCACACTCGTAACAGGCCTCGTCCCTGCCAACTAGAGGAACAGTCGTGCCCGAGGGGAAGAGATTCCAAAGCTCCTCTCCCCTCTGCCTGCCAGGTTGCTCCCATTACCGCTCACACCAGTCACCCAGAGCCTTCTGCTCCTCAGCAGCCAAACCAAACCACCATCCAGCAGATCGGGGACCAGAGAAGCAGAATGTCCCCCCCCAACCCTCCCCATTGACCCAAGCGCATTGGCCTCTCCGGCTCTGCACAACCCAGGATGGAGGATCAAAGATTGAGACTGATCATTTGATTGATCCAAACTCATCGATCTAAATCCTCCTTCAGAGCGACTACGGCACGTGGACTTACTCAGGATAATAGTGACCGTCTTGACAAGGCTGATCATGGTCTCCTTGTAGCGGGGGTGGAAGCTGGTGTGCTTGGACATCCGCGTCATCTTCCTTTTGACATAGATGAAGATGTGCGTGTACACAACTACCATGATCAGGAAGATGACCAGGTTGGAGATGGCCCAGAAGGTCAGGTAGCTCCTGCTGTAGAGCGGTGCCATGCTGGAGCACTTCTCCAGGGCGCAGAGGCAGTGCCAGCCGTAGGACGGGATGAGCCCCAGGAGCAGGGCCGTGACCCAGATGCAGAAGATGAGTATCATCACACGCTGGTTGGACATTTTGCTGTGTAACTGCATGGTAAACACAGTCTGGTGCCTTTCAACGGCGATGGCCAGCAGGTTCACCACGGAGGCTGTCAAACTGGTGTCCAGCAGGCTCTGACGGATGAACCAGGTCTTCAGGGAGAGCTTCCCTGTCCTGGGGCCGGTGTGGAACATGAGAAACATGTACGCGATGCCAGCAAAGAGGTCGGCAGCTGCCAAATTCCCCAGCAGGTAGTAGATGGGGTAGTGGAACCGCCGGTTGATGATGATAGCGGTGATGACCAGCAGGTTGGTCAGGAGCACAATGACACTCACTGTCAGGCCCAGGGCGACCACCAGCACGTCCTTCGTCCTCCAGTAAGTGGTCAGCTCTTTGCGGCTGTTGTTGTAGAAGAATTCCACGGTCTCATTGTAAAAACAGTGCTTCATCGCTGCTGTCCTAAAGAGGGAAGAGAGTATCGTTAGCTTGTTGTGCTCACACACGCACAACTGTTACAGACTGGGGAGATGCTGAGCATTACACCGATGCCTGTGACACACACGGAGGTGAGAAGGAACTTGAAACACACTGAAACAGCCACACGAGTAACAGGAAACCACTTCTGTACTCGAGATGGAGCTACACATCTCAAGCAGAGTCCTCATCTGTCCTCAAAGCCATGCTGAGGATGCAGCATAACCTTGAACATTCGTGGGAGGAGATAAGGCTTGCCAGATCTGATAAGAGATTCTCCCTGTCTGGCCCATGCAGCCTCGCGGGGCTGGCAGACAAAACTATTTCTGTTGTCCCAGATGTCCTGCTTCAGCAATGTAAAAACAAAGCGGCAGCAAGGAAGGTTTATCAGTCAATCACTAAACAACAGGCTGACGAAGACGCTGAGCCTCTGCAGCTGCTGCAGTCCCCAGGACTGCTGCTGCTGGTTCAGAACACACACACCTCCTCTTCCCTGTGGAGTTTTGGTGCTCAAAGCCTAACGTAAGGTTCTGCTCTACATGCAGCGCTTGCCAATCCTTCCAAAGCAGGCGAGTACTTCCCAAACTTCGCCAAGAGCTGGGCAGAAACGGACTCCTCATCCCTGAAAATTAAACAGCAGTGAGAAGTCCGCACCTACAACCAGGGGACTGGATCACCTGCAGCACTCCCAGACTCCGCAGCATGTGGGTCAGCCCCCCACACTTCGCAGCATCAACCAGCTGAGCAATGAGGGAAGCAAGTCCCTTCTTTCCTTCGGGAAACAATTCAAAATTCACTGAACACCATGGAAAAGCTTGACAGGAAAGGATGGGTAAGTCTCGGGAAGGACTCCACAGGTTTCTCTGGCACTGGTGGGAGCAAGACCAGACAAGCTGTTCGTCTGGATTGTAACGCTGAGTATTAATTTTCAAAGCCCGTAGACCTCTGGTAATTAACTTCCTGTCCCGTGGGCAGCCAAACGTGAAGCAGCAGGCTAAGTTGGAGGATGCTGTACCTCAGAGTCAGAGCTGAAACCCGGTAATCACCCCCGGTGTTACTTGTCCATGGGGAAAAAAAAAAAGAAAAGAAAATCTGGGAGGAATACAGCTCCAAGGGATGAGAAGCAGCCCCATGACTACACCCCCCCGGCAGATGTTGGCGTTCCTTTCCTAACCAAGAGCTTGGAAACCTCAAGTCAGGGCTGGCCGCGGTCCCCGCTGGGATGAGCAAACCCAGTTTGGAGCCTCCTTCCCCGTGGCACCGCGGTGCTGAGAAGTGACAGGGTTTTTCCTTACCCTGGTGCGTGCCACCTATGAGGTCACCGGCTCTCCCTGTCCTCGCGTGCGCTCCGCCGTCACCCTCGCTTTAGAGGGAGCTTAAGGACCACGCAGCACGAACGCAGCCCTCTCCAGACACAGCCAACACGCCGAGTGCCTGGCTCACAATTCATTTGAACACCCCCGCAACCAGCACAAAGCTCAGGGGGGCTAATTATCCGCATGTTCCTCCACCCTCTGGGCAGCAAGGGCTCGGTTTTCCAGGAGAGCGCAGCAGGAGCGGCGACAGGGAGGTGAGATCACTGCAGGCAGGCCAGTTTATCACCCGCACCGCACCCACCTCTGCCCGCACGCGTGCCGAGTTGTGCAAATAAGACGGCTGAGCCGGGAAACCCTATCGTACCTCCGGCTGAACTTTGGATCTCCGCTGCCTAATGGGCTCTGCGTCGGCCTGCTCCGGCGTGCGGCTGTCTGCCACGGGAGAAAAAGCTACAACCCAACTCGCCCACCTTAAAATCAGCTGAATAGGGAAATGATGATTTTTTTTTGGTGGGGAAAAAAGGAAAAGGAGGCAGAGGGGCAATCAATCTGCCCCGGGGGATGGAGCTGTGGGCTAGTACTATGTAACAAGTCCATCCTTCATCTCTTTCCAGCCTGTAGATCTCGAGCTGTTGAGGAGAGCGGTGCAGTTCGAAGGCAGCGCAGGGGGTGGAAGCATCGGAGCGGACTCTGAAGATACCAGCTGGCAGCTCGGCAGGTAACCAGGGAGTATTTTGGCTCGAACAGCGTAAAACCAAGGAAGAACGAGGAAGGGAGGAAAGCCCAGGAGCAGGAGGAACACAACCGCTGTGAATCACAGGCAGCCGCCTGCACAGGGTGTATCTGGGGAGGCACCAAACCCCAGGCGAGGCCGTTCTTACGCAAAGCTGTTTCCCCTAAACATTTTTGAAAGCTTTAATCCCAAATCAAGAAGTAAACTGAAGTTAGAGAAGTCATTTCACCCTTTTAAGGTTACACGTGGGGGAAGAGGAGACACAAGTGGTTTGGAGCACCCCACGCACCACTCAGCCGTGTGAACACGCGCGTTTCCACTGCTACTTAATCCCATTCGCATCTTTGCTGCGGAGTAACGCGTGGTCTCCCACCCAGTTATCCAGTTTATCAGATTCGGTGGAAGAGAAACTTGCCTGGGCACTGGCTACGCTTTAGGAAATATTCAAATACCGCAGTGAAACGGTGTGTTGATGGATACTGGTTTCACTCTCCGTGATTTTTGAGCTGACACCAGGTTAGATTAAACCCGGGCTAAAATTCAGCTTTAAAACTGCCACTGAATTATGGAGACCAACCTCATTTTGTTGCAGACACTAAAGATTTCACAGCTCTGACAGGGCCCATAAACTCCCTCTGCAAGGCTGCACACTTCCTGGTGAACCCTGAACTCATCCCAAACATCACACAGGTACCAGTTCCGCGCCCAGTTTCCTGGGGGAGGGGATTAGAGCCCTGTAAACCCACAAAGGAGCCGTGTTCTGCACGTGTAACTCCAGCCCAGAGAAAGAGTCCCTCAGCATTAACCCTAACGACGCCGTCTGAATCGCTTCTTCAGGCAGGAGCCACTTAGAGCACAGGGAGGAGTTCCGAGGGTTGCAAATCCCCCTGCAACGGGAACGGGTTAAACCGAATCTGTGCGACACCGGGAGGACCTGACAGGTTGTTAGTGCTTCTGCCCGGTCCTGGGAGCTGCTGTGCCGCTTCGCTGGCTGCCCTGCAATCAGAAAACTGACCTCGGAGCTCGGCGTCAAGGGCAGATGATGCCACAGATCCAAATGGAACCCGAGGACGAGGAACACCCGGCCCACGGCAGCAAGCGGAGGGAAAGCCAGGCTGGTGCCATGATGCACAAAGGAGCTGGTTGAGTCCATTGTTCAGTGTCCGAGCAACCCCCTTCCATGGCCTTGCACTCCTCAGCAGGATCTTACAAGATTTTTCCTTACCGCCATTGTTTACTCGGTAAAACAAGCCTCTAGTTACGTGCTGCGACAACCCAGCGGCCCCTTCCCTTGAGCAATCGGCAAACACAAGGCTCTTCGCTAATCACGCTACCTCGAACTCCGCTCAAGCCTCTCCCCCTCAAAACCCGGCGCAGCTCCCGCAGTTTGGCGGGACCCGCCACGCCGAAGGAGCGCCGAACGTCTCCCTTCCTCCTTGCCAGCGCTAGCCATGCGCCGGCTCCTTGCTCGGTCGCTGCCCCCAGTTCAGGGCAAGTTCAGGATCCCTTTACGCAGAAAGCAAAGGTGTAGGCGTCCTCCCTTCTCCATCCCCTCCTGCCTGCACAAGTGGAAAACGCCAGCCAGCTCCTTCAGACCTGGGAAGACGTTCAACGCTGGCGAGCGAGCCCGCAGCCAGCGCAGTGTGGAAGCGAGGGGGATGAATGGCTGAATTTACGCTCCAGTCGCTAATAACCACAATCGGTGTCAATCAAAACAGAACAATGGCTCTATAAAAGGCTCACGGGGACTCAAATCCAACCTGTTTTACCCCCACGGGCGCTTGCACGCGGCTTTACGTGGCCAAACGCTCAACCCCCCACCCCACTCCCTTCTCCCTTTTACACCCCGAGCGCTACAGGGTGTTCCCCCGCATCCTTACCTGAAGGCACGACCCCCGCCTCTGAACCTGACCTTTAGCACCGGCCTCCCCACCGCAGGAGGCAGGTATCCAGCAAGGGCATCCCCATCTCCGGAGGGCAGAGCTGCTTGCCAAGCAAGAATTTAAAAAAAAATATATATAAAATAAAACCAAGTGCCCGACAGGAAAGTTTCAGAGCAGCGTCACAGCCCCGGAGACCCCCCCGACCGCTCGGCAACGCTGGCTCCACCGAGGCAAGTTTGTGTGAGCTCCGAGCCCGTCCCTCCGTGGGTCCTCCCCATAGGCGGGTCCTTCCAGGAGACCCAAGAGCTGTAACCCGAGTCTTTGCCTCCTTCGCGGAGGCCAAAGCCACTTCCCAAGCGCCTCCGGATCCGACTGGAACGGGTTAGCTCCGATCTGCCCCCATCACCCTCGTGGAACTGGCACCCTCTGGTCCCACCGCTCCCTGTGGGCTCGCCTGCCGCCCCGCAGCCTTCGTCCCATCCTCTTCAAAACGACCAGGCGTGACCCTGTGACGTTGGAGCCGCCTTCCCGTGGCACCAGAAAGTGGTTTTCCTCCCCTACAACCGCAGCACCCGCGTCTCAAGGGGTCTGGCCGGGGAGGATCCGGCCTCACACCCCCACAACACCAGCAACACTTGCCCAGCAGCTTCCCCAAGATGGGGAAGATGTCCTGAGAGACGAGGGAAACTGAGGCACAGACTGGGATGGATTTTCCCCACTGTGACTTGCGTCACAGCTAAAAAAAAAAAGAGCCCACATTTCCCATCTGCCAGTCCTGGAGCCAGCGGAGACCACCCAGCGCCGTACGGACACCCGCAGCAACGAGGAAAAAACCCACCCATTCCTTTTGATTTACTCCTGCTGCTCTCGCAAAGGCCCCGGCAACTTCCACTCGACTCCAATTTCCTAGTCTCCCACCCTCCTCCTCCTCCCATGGTCTGTTCCCAAGGAACAATGTTATCACCCAGCGCAACCCTAATCTGCTGCCACTCAGCTACACCGCGGAGTAATGTTATGTAAACCAGGGGATTTACAAAGAGCCC